GGTGAGCCATCACGTCCAGCCAAGAATTTTTTTTTTTAATGCTTCTGGTTTGTGAACTCTGATTTGGAGAAGACTCATCCAGAGGTCATTTGAGCTGTTACTATGAGATCCATAAAATCAAATTACAGGTTGAATACTGCAAAAAAGAGGCCTCAGAGACACAGCTTTACTGCTGGGGAGAGAGGTCTGTAGAATGTACCAGGAGACAACAAAGTCACTGGGGACTTTTGACTCTGAGGTTTTCCCTTGAGGTATCCCAGTGGAAATACATCCCACCCTTTCAAAACTTCACAGGGTCATTCTGCTTGTTTAACTCTGGCTGGTGTTCTTTCCACTTGCTGTGGAAATAACTTGGCGGACCACAGTTGCAATTCATTGAGGAGAATAAAAAGAGCTGCAAGCTGAAATAGATCCTTCTTACTAAGCAGTCGGTGCTTGTGCCTAGGGTAGATGCAGACACCCTTGGTGAGAGTAAACTCTGGAAGCCCCATGAGACAACCACAGGGGCACGGACATAAAGGGAAGACCAATCCAGACCCCAGCTGGAGTCTTTTCACTATCCTGAGGAAGAAGTCATAGAGGTTAGATCATTATGTTTCTGTAGCACCTGGTTGGACGGAACCTATTGGATGCTATTTTGCTAACCATTGCTTAGTTGGAATAGAGGCAAAGTACAGTAGTTCGGCATTCTTTAAGTGGAGGAAGAAAAGATGGAACAAAAGAAGTTCTACGAAAGAGCCACCACAAAAGCAGAATTGTTCTTTCCGCTTGAGGTGGGTGGCGTGTGACAACTTCAAATCCCACAAAAGTAACAACTGAACCCATTTAAGAACTGACTTAATGGCAGCTGCATTGGCCGTTTGTCCCGTACTTATTGTCTAAGCAACACCTGAAGGAAAAGGAAAGCTTTTCTAAATAGCCCTGTGTGAGTAGTGAGGACCGCTACTCTCTGGAGGAAAGGACCCAACAGCTAACTCTAGTGCCCCGCTGCTCAAACTGCATTAAGCTTTCGCCGGGAATGTGTTAGAAATGCAAATTCTCAGGCCTTGCCCCAGACCTACTGGCCAGAAACTTTGAAGATGGGACCCAGTAATTAGTTTTAACAAGCCCTCCAGCAATTCTGGTGAACCCTGCAGTTAAAGAAGCTCTGCTTTAGGCCAGGCATGGTGGCTCATGCCTATAATCCCAGTACTATAATCCCCGGCCAAGTCAGGAGGATGACTGAGCCCAGGAGTTCAAGACCAGCCTGAGCAACAGTCAAACCTCATCTCCACTAGAAATCAAAAAGAGTAGCCAGGCATGGTGGCATGCCTGTAGTCCCAGCTACTTGGGAGGCTGAGGCAGGAAGATCACTTGAGCCCAGGAGATCTAGAAAAAGAACAAAATAAATGGAAAAAGTGAAAGGTATATCATACTTATAAAATGAAAGACTCATTATTGTCAAGGTAGCAATACCTTTTTTTTTTTTTTTTTTTTTTTTTGAGACAAGGTCTTACTCTGTCAGCCAGGCTGGAATGCAGTGGAACAATTATGGTTCACTCCAACCTTGAACTCCTGGGATCAAGTGATTCTCCCGCCAAAAAAAAAAAAAAAAATCCCAGTACTTTGAGAGGCTGAGGGGGGTGGGTCATGTGGTCAAAAGATCAAGACCATCCTGGTCAACATGGTGAAACCTCATCTTTACTAAAAATAAAAAAATTAGCTAGGCATGGTGGCACACACCTGTAGTCCTAGCTACTCGGGCGGCTGAGGCAGGAGAATTGCTTGAACCCAGGAGGCAGAGGTTGCAGTGAGCCGAGATCATGCCATTGCACTCCAGCCTAGGTAACAACAGCGAAACTCCGTCTCCAAAAAAAAAGAAGCTCTGCTTTAGAGCACAGTAGAAAACTCTGTCAGACTAGGAGTTAGACAGATGGGGGCTTGGAATCCCACCTTTTACACTAACTCACATTGAAACTCCTGGCAAGGTGCTCTCTGAGCCATGACATGACTTCATTCTACTCTGTGGGGATAATAATGGTAATAGCAGGACTTTGTAAAGGAAAATAAACATGAGGGCTTAGTGTGTGATAAATGCTCACTCAGCAAATGGTAGCCTTCACTAGAGTCATTCAAAAGAACGTGATTTAATTGCTTCACACAAAGGATAGAGATCTGTAGAATATACCAGGGAAGTCATTGCTGTTAAACTAGCGCGGTATCTAAGCATCCTTCCTTTCAAACTTTTTTTTCTTGAGACAGAGTCTCGCTCTGTCACCCAGACTGAAGTACAATGGCACAATCTCCGCTCATTGCAACCTCCACCTCCTAGGTTCAAGCAATTCTCCTGCCTCAGCCTCCCAAGAAGCTGGGATTACAGGTGTGCACCACCATGCCCAGCTAATTTTTGTATTTTTAGCAGAGATGGGGTTTTGCCATGTTGGCCAGGCTGGTCTCAAACTCTTGACCTTAAGTGATCCGCTTGCCTCAGCCTCCCAAGTAGCTGGGATTACAAATGTGCACCACCACGCCTGGCTAATTTTTGTATTTTTAGTAGAGACAGCGTTTCACCATGTTGGCCAGACTGGTCTCGAACTCCTGACCTTAAGTGATCCACCTGTCTTGGCCTCCCAAAGTGCTGGCATTACAGACGTGAGCCACTGCACCTGGCCCAAACTTTTCAGAAAGCTTTATTTCTCAGAGAATGGAGCACCTGTTTCAGAATGAGGGCCAGGTTTTTAAAAAATTGAGATGTTGAGTGCTCATAGCCAACCTGCCAAATGTGCCCCTTGTGAAGTGTGGTCTGGTTGTCTACACGTTTAAAATTTTTCCCTAAAGAGTCTTCAGTAGACTAAGATATGGGAATTACTGAATAAAATGAGGATATAAGATGTAACTTGGCAGTGACTTAGCTGTCACAGCCGCTGTCCTACAGACTGAGGCAGAAGGAGGCAGGTGCATTGACTCAATGTTACAACAGTAAGTAGAGTCAAGAAGGGAAATATCCCGACCTCTGCCCACCAGTTCACCACCCTTCTCTGTGGCAGCTGATGAGCTGCTAGTTAGAGTTCTCTTAGCTGGCCAACCTAGAATTGAGGCGATTTTATTGATTTCTGGAGGAAAATATTCTTGGTGGTGGCAAAACAGAAGTAGATTAGGAGCCTGTTTTTGTAGATACTTAAAATGGAAAATCACAAAGTTTTGTTTTTCCAGAAGATATGGTACCTCTTTAAGGAGTCCACCATCTGATAGCGTGGGATGCAGTTCAAGAACTTGGTATTGGCTAGGCACCGTGGCTCACACTTCTAATCCCAGCACTTTGGGACACCAAGGCAGCAGGTGGACCACCTGAGGTCAGGAGTTCAAGACCAGCCCGGACAACATGGTGAAACACCATCTCTACTAAAAATACAAAATTAGCATGGTGTGGTTGTAATCCCAGGTAATCCAGCTACCTGGGAGGCTGAGGTAGAAGAATCGCTTGAACCCAGGAGGCAGAGGTTGCAGTGAGCCGAGATTGCACCAATGCACTCCAACCTGGGCAACAAGAGTTGAACTCTGAAAAGAAAAAATAAAGAACTTAGTATTCTCTGTCTCATATTCCTATGTAAGTGTGTCCCATTTGAGAATGAGAGAATTGAGGCACAGAGAGGTTAAGCTGCTTTTCCAGACTGACAACCAGAAAAGTGGAGAGCTGAGTTTTAAACCTAGGAAATATAACTCCCTACCACATCAGTTCTAAACTCTTTCTCCTCAAAGGACAGTTTCTGGGCCAGCACTTTACAGGAATTTTTGAGAAATGCCCAATCTCAGACCCCCCCTCAGACCTATTTAACAAGGCTGCATTTTGACAGAGATTTGTAAACACACTGAAGTTTGAAAAGCACAAGGCATTTCTCCAAGTGCGTGTGCTAGGCATCACTAGTATGGAAAACACATGTGAGCGCTAACTAACTATATAGATTTCAGGCCTTCCAAAAATTTCTGCAGCTGGGTTCAAAGACGCTGCATCATCAGTGAGTGCCCAGTCAATCACTATGTATGCTTAATTTTGAGAGCCAATGCTTTTAGTTCTCCTGCTCTGTCCTTTGCTTGACCACTAAAACAAGACGGTCAGATTGGAGCAGGTGAATGTTCTCCATCTAATGATGACAAAACAAAAGGAATTTAGAGAGGAGCACAAACAGCCAAGTTAAGGAGGGCCAAGGAGGAACTTTCTCTCTCTTGACTCTATCTCAAACCCAGATTGTGGCATCGGCCTTTTATTTGAAGTCTAATTTTGTTTGGTTTGATTTTGTTTGTTTTTTGTTGGCTTTGTTCTTGAAGGATGCCTTTGTGAAAATCTATACTATTGCTGTCAGTGACTCCAAAGCCAGAGCTCAAATTGTTTCTTTTACCTTGGACTTATTTGCATAATATTATTCTCCTCTACGAACCAAAAAGTGTGATGTCTCGACATGTTTCAAAGCACTCCCGAGGAAGGTCCTATATTGAGAAAGGTGTGGAGCACAGCTGAGAGACTGAGGCAGGTGACTGTGATATGCATACCCTTAGGGTAATACAGAGTGAGGCAGGTGATGCTGATATTGATTGAATTCTTGTCTAAAGTCTGTGCTGACACCATTAGAGGCCCCAGAGGTTGAGAAAGCAGCAGAGACAGAGAGAGAGAGAGAGAGAGAGAGAGAGAGAGAGAGAGGATCTTAAGCTATTAGTTGTAGTCCTGTTCTGCCACTAGCTATCAGCATGACTCTGTGAGAGTTACTTAATTTCTTCAAAGCCAAGTTTCCTCATTTGTTAAAGCAGAGGGTTTTTCAGGTACTTCAATTGCAATGACCTAGAGGGCCAGGCAGGTAACGTAAATGGGTGAAGTCAGCTCAGTGGCAAATTGGGAGGAAGTACAAGCCACTGAGAGCATGCGCCTCCTGCAGCCATTCCAGGCGCAGTTCTTCAAACAGTATCAGCCGAAGAAAACACATCTGTGGCTGAATTTAACCCAGGATAGACTGTCTCTCAGAGCCCTTCCAGCACATAGCCAAAAGTTTTAGAGTTTGTTAGCCATTGGCGTTCACCATGTCCATTGCATGCCGGTGTTAGACCAGAATCCGGAGGAGATTGAGGAGACCCAATAGAAAATGTCGATGATCTCATTCCTGTTACTTAAACCGGGAACAAGTGGCAAGTTGCTGAGCTTCCCACAGACTAGCTGAGGACACAGTGCCAAAGAGGAACCTGCATTCTTTTCCCTAAATGTAATGAGGCTGAAAAAAGATTCTGAAGAAGATGTAGAGTTATTTTGGTAAAGCTTCTAAGAAGGCTCTGATGCAAGGTAATGGGAAGGGGGTTTGAATCATTTGTTTTGTTCATTTTGCTCTATTGGTGGGGGCGGGAGGGCAAGATTTTTAAATAAAAGTAGATATGATAGCTATCATTATGAAAATGCATGGTTTGGGTAACATCTCCAACCCTTTAATGGGAAAATTCAGTTATTCTGTATTTCCAGGCATATGGTGGTTCCTCAATCAGATGTTTGATTATTAATTTAATGCATTCATTCTCAAAGTATGGCCCCTGGGTCCACAGCATCAGCATCACCTGTGAAGTTGTTAGAAATGCAAATTCTCAGACTGTACCTCTAAGATCTACTGAATCGGAAGCTTGTGACTGGCATCCAGCAATGTGTGTTTTAATAAACCATCCAGGTGATTCTGATGCCTCCTAAAGTTTGAGAATCACTGGTGTAATATTGTTAATTGGAGCCTCTGGATAGGTCATGGGTCTGAGCAGTGTTGCAATCCTGACATTATTATGCGATGTTCCACGTAGTTATGGGTATTTAAGTCATTCATTTCCAAGTATAATGGGTACCCTAAGTAATCAGTAGGGCTTTGATGATCTGGATGCCAGAATCAAAGAGATACAATCGACCGAAACTGTCATTGAGTAGAATTCATGCACATTCTTCAGGTAAGTGAAGGGTCATTCTCGTTATGTATTCATTCGTTTTTAGTGTTTGTTGATTACATGTGTTTTATTCTGTAGTATCAGGTTAAATGGTTCAGAAACATCCTATGTAAGCAGTAATTTGATGTAGCATGACTTCACTATAAAACCCTTTATATAACATCATCGGTCCATCATCAGGGAAAAAGCCAACACACTCCTAAATAAAAGGGACCTGTCACTTAATTTTTCTCTGAGCATAGCAGTGGGAATCATTCCATCAGTTTCTTTGCATGTAGGAACAGTCCATCTCTGCAGTGTGCAGGTTTGCTAATGCCTGTTATTTTGAGATGAATACATTTTTTGCTTGTTAATATACAGTTGTTCTCTTGTGATCTTAAAAATGTTTCCCATTACTCATCATTGTTCTCATGTGGTACCTGAAAGAATCAACCACATCCACACTGTAGACGTGGTTAATCTACATCAGTATTCCTTCCTGAGACAAGAAGAAATGCTTAGAATTAGGACACAAAGTGGGCTACGTGATTGATATGTGAGGGCTTATAAACTGGTTGCTAGGCTTTCCAGATGACGTGCAAGAGTAAGGGAAACTCAAAACACAGGGAATATTTTCTCCCATTTATTCCAGGGTGCCTTATACTGAGATCTTGAATTTAAGCTCTGTCTGTTCATTGCACATGTTTATCTGCAAACCACGTAATACTGATTATTTTTTCTTTCTCTCTATATAAACGTGCAAATAGCTTATGTAATCAAATGTATGTGTGCATAAACTGATTACTAAGAAAGTCAACAAGCACTGCAATCATTTTTTAGTGAATTGTTATAAATTGTCCTTGATTTTATAATTCTCAACAAAATGATCAAAATTCATCAACATTCATGGGATCTGCTGAGTCTCCTCTTGGTTTTTTAGCAGACTGTCCAATTAGAAGTAAGACTTAATTAAAGTGTTTGAAGATTATTGCAGGCCCACTCTTTCTTTATCATTCACCGAATACTTAGCACACACTTAGTTGACAGGTGTTTTCTAAGACTCGACAACGCGTGAGGCACTGAGCACAGGATTTTTGGCAGTGACGAGATTGAGTATGCCCTTCCTCTCACTAATGTGGTGTAGTAGAGACCGCTAAGTAGTCATCAGTGTTCGTCTCTTCTTCCTGGGTTTACATTTTGCAGCATCCTCTGCTGCTGGGTGTGGCATGTGGCTGAATTCTGCCATTGAGTAATGTAGGGTATGGACACTGGTAGGACCTGTCATTTCACCCTGAACCTAAAACTCTTCCACGCATCCAACTCCATACACATTTCCATGCCTCCTACGCTTCCCTAACTAGTATACTGGGAAGAAAGACACTGAAAAAATAGCAAAAGTGTTTGAGGTAAGAAGGTGCACTATCAGACACGACCTTCTGTATCAGGACCTTCAAGTCTCAAAGTCCTCAGGGAAAGAAAACATAATATTTTTGGCTTGATTATTTGTTGTTAGTTATTATGAGTTTTGCTTCTATAGTGCAGACACATCCAACAAATTAAGAAATGTGAGATTATATAGACTAGAAGAAAATTGGTTAATTTCTTTAATTCATTTGTATTAACAGAAGGACAGTGCTAGGACACAAAAGCCAATGCAAGCGTCTTTTGTAATCTTAAGGGCACATGAGAATAACTGCAATTACTTATGTACGCAGAGTGTGTAGCTCCTTTCCCTATAGTCTTTGAAAATCCCAGGTGAAATATGTACTTCTGTAAGGAGGATCTTTCAGGAGTTCTTTGTTCCCACATATAATTTGATCATTTAGGAGTTGCTTTGAGCAGTGATATACAGGGGGGATGGTGTTGAAGTGAGAGTAGTCTGCCAAGGTATAAAGGGGTTCATTGTCTGTAGTTAGCTTAAAAATTGAGCCAGGTATGGCGGCTCATGCCTGTAATCCAAGCACTTTGGGAGGCCAGGGCGGGTGGATCACCTGAGGTCAGGAGTTCAAGACCAGCCTAGCCAACATGGAGAAACCCCGTTGCTACTAAATATGACAACAGCTCAGCCAAGTTTGTGTAGCTGACACAGGACTCAGGTGACAAAATGAGCTGGGCATGGTGGTACATGCCTGTAATTGCAGCTACTTGGGAGGCTGAAGCAGGAGAATCACTTGAACCTGGGAGGCGGTGGTTGCAGTGAGCTGAGATCATGCCATTGTACTCCAGCCTGGGTAACAAGAGTGAAACTCCATCTCAAAAAATAATAATAATAACTTAAAAATGACAATAAACCCAACTGAAAGTTAGTCTGCTTATTATTACCATGCACCAGCAATTCTAAACAATGCCAGTGGTTTTTAAAAAAATAATCATTCTAGGCTGGGCATGGTGGCTCACACCTGTAATCCCAGTGCTTTGAGAGGCCAAGGCAGGTGGATCACCTGAGGTCAGCCTGGCCAACATGGTGAAACCCCGTCTCTACTAATATAAACATTAGCCAGGCATGGTGGCACACATGTGTAATCCCAGCTACGTGGGAGGCTGATGCATGAGAATCCCTTGAACCTGGGAGACAGAGGCTGCAATGAGCTGAGATCGTGCCATTGCACTCTGCCTGGACAACAAGAATGAAACTCTGTCTAAAAAAAAAAAAAAATACTCTTTCACCAGGGAAACCTCCTGGTAGAAAGGGGTTTACACAGACCAATACTTTTGCTCCCCAACTCAGCTTGATATACCACTAGACAACTTAATTATCTATTAAGGGCACTTTTCAATGGCTTTCAATATAACAAGAGATATTCTGCAACAGGAAATATCATATAACCAAAGAATTTTTAATAGTGCATTACTCAGGAAAGTGAATCAGAGACTATTCTTTTTGACCTGGAAAAAAATAAATGGAACCAGTGACTTCAGGGAGGCTTTATGCAAGAGCTTGTTCTTGAGACGTTAAAAGACCTGAGAAAATAATGTAACAAAGAGGAAGCATTGGATAAAGGGGAGAGCAAATTCCAAAGCTAGCTAAGTGAGCCAAGAGGGGAGATGACCTTAGGTAGAGTCTAGTGGAATATGACAACAGCTCAGCCAAGTTTGTGTAGCTGATACAGGACTCCGGTGACAAGTGTCCAAATATTTTGTTGTGTTTGGAAGTTATCATGTCCTCATGAATTTTAATGTCACATAGTCAAAGCATTGGTTTTACAAATACTACCAATTTGCTGTGAATAACTAGTACCATACTTTGGGACAGGGGAAAAATTGGCTATACAACCATGGCAATTCATATGGAACACATGATCAGTGTTATGGTTCTGGGTTTTATCGGCGATGACTGCAGAGCACCGTTACTCTACGTGGTGGTTGATCATCCGGTTTGCAGTTGTGTGAAGCAATCTTGGTTGTGCTGACCTGCCAACAGCGGGTTTGGTCTCAGTAATACAGGGGTTGTGAAAGGCTCCAAAGGCTGGATACCAAGCCTTAGATGATCAGTTTGATCTCTGCCTTTATCAGTTTAATATTCTAAAAATTATTGCTTTTGACCACCTCTGTTACCATAATTGGACCTCATTGAAATAAGGTGTGATTTGAGACTGACACTTCTTTTTTGTGCTGACCCAGATCAAAGCATTTACAAAGAGGGATTTAAGAGGGAGTATGACTGCCAGGTTCAGACATAAATAAGAAAGTTTAGGATATGAGATGATATTGAGAAAAATGGGCATTCAGGACCAATTTAAATAATGGAAAGTATGTTAATATCTAATGAAACCTCATTTGCCATGGCATAAACAACAATCATCAAACTTGAACAAGAATAGAAACAAACGTTACTGTATTTCTCATCCTTGAACATTGATCGTTATTAGTCCTCAGTGAGCTGTAATTTTGTGTGTGCTGCTATCATGAATAGCCATTTGCATCATTATATTGGCCAATTTCAACAAGGTAAATTTCAATAATGAACGTAAGCTTACTTCTAATGTGGACCTTCCCCTGCTGCAAAAACATATTGCAGTTCTTTAGAGTAAACGTAAGATGGAGTGAATCATTGTCTAATCTGTTGTTACCTTTCTTCATCTGAGACACAGCATTAGAACTTCATTGGCAGGGAATAAAGAGAAACTTGCCCAAAAAAAGCTCTGTGCCAATTCCCTTCCCTTCTGTGCCAACCAAACAGAAAAATATTTGTAGAAACCTTTCCTCTCGAGTTTTTAGTGTGGTTCCAAAAGCAGAGGCAAGGGAGGATAAACCATCCAGGAAGGACGGTTGGGGGAAGTGGTGAGGGACAGCATTTCTTATTAAACAGAAGCCAGCATGGTAAATGGGCCCTACAAATGAGCCAGAATTGTAGTTCTACCAAAATTTCCACTGGTGGGTCCAAGG